TACAATAAGTTACCTAATGAATCAAAAAATAAAATAAAAATAATGCATTGAATAAGGAAAAAGATACAAAAGTGAGAAAATATCAACAATAATTAAATTTTAAAAAGTGAATTTTTTATAATAATAGTCTAGAAGCATGAATTATTCTACAATTCACTAATTCTTCTTCAGCGGTTACAATTCCATTTGGCGTCACTAGAGGACAATTAGCCACATCAAGATGTCTAAGTGTTCCAGCAAGATTTTGACAGATTTTCGTTATGCAATCATCATTAACATTACGACAATATCTTAAAACCAGTTTGTTCAAATTACGGCAGGCACTGACTAAATCAATCACTGCTTGTTCACTTATGGTCCATTCTCTCACATCAAGAGCACATATGGATTCTCCAATATTAACACGAATGGTGTGCATAAGTTCATCGAGTAAGGAATCTTCATTGTTTACATCAACTCCACCAAGAACCAAAATTTGCAATTTTTTACATGACTCAACTAATTCCATTATAGCTCTTATCTCAACACGAATTACATCCAATCTGAATTCTATGAGATTAGGGCAGTGAGTCGCGAGTGCCTTAATACCCTGTTCAACAGAATCGGCAGCACCGCATGGCAACATAATCAATTTCCTGAGATTATGTTTACAGTGAGTTGCAAGTGCTACTATGGCTTCTTCTGATACTTTTGTCTCCGAAAGGTTGATTTCAGTTATCATCTGACCAAACTCCAACGCATTGAATGTTTTTTCGTCAACACTATGACAATCACTCAAATCCAAAGATTGAAGTTTTCGAAATCTTAAATTATCCATCGCATGATCAATATGAAGTCCATTTATACGTAAATCAGTAATCTTGGCAACAACAGACGGTTTCAAGCCAGCCAACAATAACCTAGGAGCCATGGTAATCTTGATACAAAGTTCTTCAAGGTAACCATCTTCCTGCGAGTCCAAGAAACTATTTAAAAGTGCAGCAGAACAACCACGCACAGTAAACTTGAATACGCGGAGCCGTTTACAATTACTAGTGATAAATTTTAAGGTTTCATCCGTGTTTTCGTATTGTAAAAGATCGAGATGCGCAATGTTAGGAAATTTTTGAACCATTGAAGTAAAAATATCAACGGCAGAATGCCAACATGTAACTAATGATTCCACAATAGAACAGCGATTGCCAAAAGCCTTTGATAAAGCAAAAAAGGTTTCTTGAGTTTTCCTAGGTCTATCACCGCATGAAGCAGTAGCTGCTATCCTAACTTCAAGGAATCGGTATAGAATAGGAATATTAATATGTCGTGTAAATGCAACATAATCCATGATTGTGAAACTAGAGGAAGAGGTGCCTTCCTCAGTAGATTCTGTTGGCTGTTCATTAATACAGCTTATATAAGTCCTGAGCAGTAAAGCTCCTTTCGGATTTAGTTCTCTCTTGTAAAGTTCTTCCTCTTCTTCAACTTCAAAATATTTCCAAGGATTTTTTGTAGAGAAGTGGTGCAGTAAGTCGCGCAAATAAACGGTTTGTACGCATGCAGCTATTAAGAGCCTTAGAGTCATGCGTCAGGTGTGAAATTATTTCGTGAATACACTCCACCGGGAGTGCTTTCTCAAGTGAACGAGTAGACATTGTAAATAACTTTTAAAAAGTACTCGTGATTTTT